TTGTCGTAGTGATCCTATAGTTGAGACAGACAGGAGCGACCTGCTCTAAACCCATGTTGCCCTGGGTTGTGTAACTGATGGGTTTCTAGATGGGTGTTGATCTTGCTTCTTAGGACCCTTTCAAAGATTTTTATGATATGGGATGTTAGTGCTATTGGTCTGTAGTTCTTTGCTGTTGCTTTACTGCCCCCTTTGTGGAGTGGGGCTATGTCTGTTGTTTTTAGTAACTGTGGGACGACCCCCGTGTACATGCTCCCTCTCCATAGGATGGAAAAGGCTCGTGATAGGGGCTTCTTGCAGTTCTTGATGAACACGGAGTTCCATGAGTCTGGCCCTGGGGCAGAGTGCATGGGCATGTCATTTATCGCCTGTTTGAAGTCATTTGGCGTCAGGATAACATCGGATAGGCTTGTGTTAATCAAATTTTGTGGCTCTCTCATAAAAAAATTCATTTTGATCTTCGACTCTCAGTCTGGTTAGCGGCTTGCTAAAAACTGAGTCATATTGGGACTTGAGTAGCTCACTCATTTCCTTGCTGTCATCTGTGTAGGACCCATCTTGTTTAAGTAGGGGCCCAATACTGGACGTTGTTCTCGATTTTGATTTGGCATAGGAGAAGAAATACTTTGGGTTTCTTTCGATTTCATTTATGGCTTTTAGTTCTTCCCGCGATTCCTGACTCCTAAAGGATTCTTTTAGCTTAAGTTCGATGCTTGCTATTTCTCTGACCAGTGTCTCCCTACGCATTTCAGATATATTGACCTCTTTTAGCCGCTCTGTTATTCTTTTCCGTCGCCTGTAAAGGGAGCGCCTGTCTCTTTCTATTTTACATCTACTCCTCCTTTTTCTTAGAGGAATAAGCCTTGTGCATACATCGAGTGCCACCGAGTTAATCTGTTCTAGGCATAAGTTGGGGTCTGTGTTGCTTAGTATATCTTCCCAGCTTATATCGGTTAGGACTTGGTTTACTTGGTCCCACTTTATGTTTTTGTTATTGAAGTTGAATTTGGTGAATGCTCCCTCGTGACTAGTCTCATTATGTCGGTCTGGGGCTCCACACATACATGTCTGAACCTCAATTATGTTGTGATCTGAGTATATTGTTTTTGATATGGTGACATTTCTTATCAGATCATCATTGTTAGTGAAGATGAGGTCTAGTGTATTCTCCAGTCTAGTAGGCTCTATTATTTGCTGGTTTAAATTGAATTTTGTGCAGAGATTTAAAAGCTCGTGTGAGTGTGAGTTTTCATCAGAGCTGCCTCCTGGTGTTATTACTGCAACAATATTATTTGCTGTATTCCCCCATTTTAGGTGCCTTAAGTTGAAATCCCCCAGGAGCAAGATGTTGGGTGCAGGAGCTGGAAGATTTTCCAGACAGTGGTCAATTTTTAACAGCTGTTCCTGGAATTTCTGGGATGTTGCATCCGGAGGCTTGTAGACTACCACAATGACTAGGTTTTGGTTCTCGACCTTTACTGCTAAAACTTCCACTACATCATTTGAGGCATTAAGCAGTTCTGTGCAAACAAGTGACTCTGCAATGTACAGGCCAAACCCCCCCCCCTTTTGCCTGTTCACTCTGTCACATCTGTATAGGTTGTAACCTGGGATCCATATTTCGTTGTCCAAGTGATCCTTTATGTGGGTCTCAGTGAAAGCCGCGAACATTGCCTTTGCCTCTGCAAGCAGTCCACGGATGAAAGGTATTTTGTTGTTTGTTGCTGGCTTTAGACCCTGTATATTTTCAAAGAAGAATGTTATCGGACTGGTGGTATTGTTGGTACTGGGGGGGGGGGATTTTTTTTTCCGGCATTAGTATCTGTATCTGTTGGTTTGGAGTGGAGGCCATCGACTGTGGTTCCACTCCAGGAATGACTGGATTTGGTGTACGATTTCTGCCATTTCCTGCCAGTTTTTTTTCCTTCCTGGCACTAAAAAACCTCTCCCTCTTGAGTGGCTGTGGCTACCCAGGTTTTCCCATGGCCTGGATGTTTTGTATCTTTTTGTCCCCTTTAGATGGTATGCCTGGCAATTTAAGTTATAGCACAGTCTTTCCTGTACTGAAGAGGTACACAGTTCAGGGTGAAAAAGCTTATAGGAAGGGAGTTTGCATTTTCCTGTTGTCATATGGGCATGGCATTTTCTAGGGTGGTCATAGTTGCACGTCCCATCTGTTTTTCCAGATTTCCCATGCCAGCAGATACCAAGTGCATAATATGTGCACAGGCTTGGTTTCCGTTTGCCTTGGGTTTCTGTGACTGTATTCCCTGTTGGTGCATGTTTCCCTGTCTTACTTCTATCCTCCCTAGCACCAACAATGGAGCTCCCACCAGTTGTTTTTGGTAATATATCCTCACTATTGCTAGTGGAGTCCTCTTGTTTGCTATTTCCTGCGGTATTTCTAGTTTGCAATATTGGTTTTATCTTATCTTTGACTACACTTGTTTCCCTACTATGGCTCCTGTCCCCTATGAGGTCATTTATATGTATTCCTTCCTGCGTATAATTCCCGACTACCTGGACAAAATCTCCAGCTTCACCATTACTGTCTCCCAGGACAGCATCTCCAGCTTCACCATTACTGTTTCCCAGGACAGCACCTCCAGCTTCACCATTACTGTCTCCCAGGACAGCATCTCCAGCTTCACCATTACTGTCTCCCAGGACAGCACTATCAGCCCCACATTTACTGACTACCAGGACATCACCTCCAGCCTTACAGTTTCTGACTACATGGCCAGTATCAAGGGCAGTACCATTCAGCCCAGACTTTTTATGTTCCCATCTGTTGTAGAAAGCTTCCAGGTTTTCTATGAAAGCAGCTTTGATGTTGACCTCTTTTAATACCCTTGTGATTTTAGTCCACAGATTTATCTCATTTGGGCATACCCGAAAACACTTCCCTGTTTTAACACTGCTTGTAGCTAGTTCTTGGATATCTGCACAAGGGGCGTGACACCAATTTCCACAAAAATGACAATTTACCCATGTGGAAGCCCGTTTGTTTGACTGACCACAGACTACACACAGCTTCATAATGATTTGAATGGTTGATTTACTGCAATTCTACTAGCAACCTCTCGAATATTCTATTAATAACCTCCTTAAATGAAGCTCTAGCTATTTGTATTTCTGTTTCTAACTGTTTTTGTATATTGGACAGCTTGGTTTCTATAATGAGTTTTTTACCCAGCTCTTTGAGGAACTTTACAGCACACTTGCCCCATGCTCTAAGGGTCTTCGACCCTATTGGGATGAAGTTATAGCACGGGGGAAGGCCTTCATATTTGAGGGTCTTCTGGGTCTCCCTGTAGCTGGCAGCTCCTGGAGTTTACCTGGAGAGAATTCCGGGGATCAACGCCCCCGCGGCCCGGTCTGTGACCAGGCCTCATGGTGGATGAGAGCCTGATCAACCAGGCTGTTACTGCTGGCTGCACGCTATCCAACGTACGAGCCACAGCCCAGCTGGTCAGGTACCGACTTTAGGTGCTTGTCCAATGCCTGCTTGAAGACAGCCAGGGGTCTATTAGTAATCCCCCTTATGTATGCTGGGAGGCAGTTGAACAGTCTAGGGCCCCTGACACTTATTGTATTATATTTTGACGTGCTAGTGGCACCCCTGCTTTCCCTGCCGAGTCTTTTGCTTTCGTTGTGAGTGATTTTCGTGTGCAAGTTCGGTACTAGTCCCTCTAGGATTTTCCAGGTGTATATGATCATGTATCTCTCTCGCCTGTGTACCAGGGAGTACAGGTTGAGGAACTTCAAGCAGTCCCAGTAATTGAGGTGTTTTATCTCCATTATGCGCGCCGTGAAGGTTCTCTGTACATTTTCTAGGTCAGCAATTTCACCTGCCTTGAAAGGTGCTGTTAGTGTGCAGCAATATTCCAGCCTAGATAGAACAAGCGACCTGAAGAGTATTATCATGGGTTCTCCACCCCCATCAGCTCCAGAGTATGGCAAGTAGGTGTCTGCCAATGTGGCAGCATAGGTGTAGTCTCAGGCAATCTGCTTACCATCCTTCCAGGGTAGCATAGTGGCTCCACGACGCTTTTGACTTCTGTCAGACCTCTGTACTTGGAGTTCCCGTTGAGCTGGGCAATGGGCTTTGGCAAGGCTTCTCTTTATGATGTCGTTGACCTCATGTCTAGCATACTTTCCTTCTGATGTGGGACACACAAGACCATGAAGTCCGAACTGATCAGCCGTCGCCCTGCTGCAAATGCACCTATGTTCGGTGAGTATGGGGGCGGCTAGGCAAAGAGCAGCACCAATCCGAATGGCCTGTGGGTCGAGTCGAGTGCCCAGAGAGGAATTGGGAACTGCTAGAAGGAAATCTCCTGACTGTTGTGCCTTCACCGCTAGGGGACGAGCTTTGTCCTTTCCTGAAGCATTGGTGAGCATTGTGTTGGCGACTTTTTTCTATGATCGGAACTCTCTCCAGGTAAACTCCAGGTATCCCAGTGGGACATTTGTGCTCTTGGGGAGGAGCTGGTCTACTGGAGGAGTCGGCAAGGATGTCCCACCGCACGACTGCTAAGTATACATAGCATACAGCTAAATAGCTTATAATACATAGCAGCTTACAGTTACATAGATTATCATACATAGCAACATATATGTAGAGAACCTAGGATAGCCCCAAAAAGTCAAAGAGACTTATTTCCATTGGGGTCCTTGCTTCCATGAACCTGGGGTCTTGAGCTCCCACCGCACCTCTCAAGCCTTCGAGGGTAATCTCCTTGACTAGTCCACCAGAAGCTAAACACGAAGACAGAAAGCCAAGTAATATTATATTATATTATATTATTTTGTGGTTTGAGTGGCCCGCCCTGGGAAGGTGTAGGGAAGACCAATCAAAAGTGGGGTAGCTCGACCGCGCTGGCCAACTAGTAATCAGTTAGAATAGAAGCCTAACCAATCATCGACCGATTGGTGAAGGCACTTGGCAAATCAGAGATGAGTGTGTGTAGCAGGCTGACCAATCAGAAGGCGCAGGTTAGGGCGTCCACAAGCTTGCAGCCATATTGGATGTGTCTGCGGTGCCGGTGGGAGGCACCGCTCTGCTCTATTTTGTGGTCTTTGTGTTAATTGTGAGCGTTAGAGCAGCAAGCAGAGGCTGCACCAGCACACGACTGCCATCATGGGGGAAGACAGGGAGAAGGAGAAGCCAGAGAAAGGTAAGAGTGAGGAGAAAAAGTGTGGTGATGGCGGCCACCACAGCTTTGGTGGTGCCCACCGACAATTATGTACAGCTGCGCCGCGCCATTTTGGTACTCTCACGCACTTCTACCACATTATTGGCCTCTCCTGGGAGGCTCCTTGACACTAGTGAGGGGCATTTGATCCAAGGAATTAGAAAATGACCTCACATTCCTCGGATCGAACCTGATTGTTTCATTACCCCCACCCCACACCCTTGCTGGTTTAGCGCTTCACTGTGAATGTAACAAAAGTAAATGATATAATGGAACTGTTTTGACATGGAAATAATGGTGTCTAGGGAAGGTAAATATTGAGTATGAAATGCATAGTGGCGCCACTCATGATATTCAGCGTTGGTGCTTGACGACGAGCAGTGGAGCACTGCAGAAGGTCTACTGGCACATAGCTACCCTAATGTGTATAATACCGACAAGTTGAAGAATTAAACACCGTGTGCAACAACTGGGTATCTTTATTATGGCTGTATCAATACAATGCTGGGATGAAAACAAGAGAAAATGGTGTCTTATAAAACGACAAGTTGAAGAATGAGACGCTGATGCAGCATTTAGGAATCTTTATGGAGGGACCCCCTCAAGGGAGGTTCCTTGATGCTGGTGAGGGGCTCTTGATCTAGGGAATTGGATCTGTGCTCCAGTTCTCTGAATTGAGCCTGAATACCTTCCACTCTTCCCTCTCCACAGGCGCTGTATAATCCCATCGGGTTTAGCGCTCCCCATAATTATACGTAATTTATTTAAGGAACGGTTTTCTAGTCACTGGCTTCTTCAGTGCAAGACAGAGAAGAATAGATGAGTAGTTTGAGGTAATCAGTCCCTCAGTAAAGATTCCCATATATTCTAGTGTCATTCTTCAACTTGTTGATTTTCTAAACCTTTTACATCACGTGTCAGACACTGCAACTTCTTGAGATCTTCATAAAGAGAATCCATACTTGCTTAACCCATAGCTTGTAGTGCACTAGGCTCACACACTTAGGTCCTGGGATCCATGTTCTCCCATCAGTAAAATGGGTATCTGGGTGTTAGTTGATGGGTGCGGGTTGCATCCTGGGACAAAATTGACTTAATTTGCCTGAAATGCTTTGCATAATGAGGGTTTCTGTATAATAGTATGTCATTGATGTCAGTTAGGCCTGTATATCTTGTACATGTACCTGTAAAAAGAGATTTTTATTAACCTACGGGCATAACCTACTTACACTAGTGGATATATTCATTGGTGACTGCCTCCTCACCTGACTGCAATATAAAAGCCACTCCTAGCATATGCGGTACTTTCCTCAAGATTGATGGACTGAACACAGACTCCAGGCAGAGGGACTGATTACGTAACTCAAACTACTACTAATCTTTCTCCGTTCTTCTCTTTATTAGACTGAAGAACCCACTGGCTGGCAAAATGTTTTCAATAAAGATTCCCAAATGTTGCACAAGTGTCTGATTCTTTAAGACTGGAAAGGCTGAAGTAAAGGTAATTAGTCCCTCAGCCTAGCAGCAGGTATTCAATACTGTATTCTTGATGAGCACAGGCAGATGAGGCACAACAGAGGAAGACATTTTCACTGGTAAGCAGTATTCCACAGTGGAATCTCGCCTTCCTACAATAAGTGGATTGTGCAATGGAAATTTGTTTTTGCTTTGCAAATGGAAAGAAAATGTAAAAACCTAACATAGCTAAAGAATGAAGGTGCACTGCAGTGGACCAAATGGCCTTTGCTTGGTACATCCAGCTCTCGTCCATCCACACCCACTTGTATACCTGTATTTAAAGCTACCATTTAGGAGGTTCCTTGAAGGTGATGGAAGGCTCTTGATCCAACCTTCCCCTTGGATAGAACCAGAATGTCTCCCATTTCCCCAGGGGCTATATGACCCTTATGAGTTTAGCACTCCCCCATGAATGTAATAGTAAATAGCTTCCATACCCAAAGTTGTCTCCCCACTGACCCTGCTTGGGAGTTTCTTCCACTCGTCTACAACTTCATGTTACAAGCGGTGTTCCACAGGGGTCAGTATTGGCCCCAGTTGTTCACAATATACGTATAGGAGCAAACAAATTTGTTGATGCTAAAATAGGCCATCAAATAAATTTGGGTGAGGGTGCTGGTTGGGGAAAGTAACACTTACAGTTCACTGTAGACAAATTCATGGTTCTAAGCCTGGGAAAGAGAGAATAATTATGGCACTTATAAAATGAATTATGTATATAGCTTTTCGTCACTGCATACAAAAAAGATTATCCTCGTTAGCATTAATCCAAAAGCCAAGTGCTGCTCAGTTCGTCTCCATAATACAGTGGACAGATGCACCGGAAAACATATAGAGAAGTATGACAAAGTTGATCCCCTGTATCAGAATTCTTTGAGGATAGACTGAAGGCCCTGAATCTGCACTCTGAAAATGCCTAACATTAGGGGGGAGGGGGGATATGATTAAGTGTATAAATGAAGTACAGGAATGAATAAAGGGGCTATAAATAATTTACTGAAAATGTCTAACCAAGGCAGGACTTGCAGCAGTGGGTTCAAGTTGGAAAAATTTAGATTTAGGAAGGATATAGGAAAGCACTAGTTGTTAATAATTGTGGAGGAGTGGAACAAACTCCTGAGCAGTGTCACCAAAGCAAAAGTTTTGGGTAGCTTTAAAAATGGGTTGGACAGGTATATGAGTGGGTGCGAGTTTGACTTGCCTAGCATAGGCCAATAGATCGGCAGTGCTTCTTTTGCTCTTTTTAAATCTAACTATTTTAAATTTTATTCCATTGCTGCTAGCCCTGTCTTGGTTAGATATTTTCTGCACATTATTTATATCCTTTTTATTCCAGTTGTTCACTTGTATATTTCAGTCATATTCCTAATCCTTAAACTGTCCAGACCCCCAAAATTAATATTGCTCTGTACACTTCTTTCTTAATTTTCTGAAGTAGTTAATTTTTTTTTTTCCCTGAAGGTATGACCCGAAAGTTTGTTTGAAAACTTACGAAATTATGCAGGCTCAAAGTAGCGGTCTCGATACAATTTAAGCATCTGTGATTTCACCCATTTTGAGTCTTGTTTTAAGCTAGTGCCATTGTTCCATTTGACCATGTTCTTAGCTATTTTGTTAATGTGCCTTTCGTTCTATAAATTGAGCACAAGAAACTGCTCGTTCTATTACACCTACCCTATAAAGTGCACAGGTTGGTAATTTGGCCAATTTTACACAATTAAGATACAGGCTAACATACTTGCCCAGTTAAGTTCTCTCAGTATACTCAACCCTTGTGGTTTAGCGCTTCTCTTTTATTATAATAATAATCTCGACATACTCGCCTTGGGAAGCTATAAACTGATCCCGGTACCTCTGCCACTTCTAGAAACATTTCTGGAACTTTTCTTTCCTAACAGCATCTAGTGTGTCCTGTTATTGACTCTCCATGTTGTTAAAATTCTGCCCCTTGTGCCATTTTTATTTTTGGGAAGAGGGAAAGTCATGGGGGGGGGGGGGCTAGCTCTGGGGAGGATGGGGGGTGACTGTCATGATTTTGGCCAGAAAATGCTGGACAGACAAGGCTGCATGAGCAGGGGCATTATCATGGTGAATGAACCAGTTGTTGGGCACCCACAATGTTGGAAGCTTCTTTCTCAGGTCTTCCCTGAAACCATCTTGGACCCATAACGAAAGATTTTTGGATAATTGTTTTCCCATGGCCAGGCTCAGAGTAGATAAACTCTCGAAACTCTTCAAAGGTATATATTCCTGCTGGAACTAATTCCTGATGAACAATTCCCACTGTCCCCCCAAAAAAAAAAAATTGTTCTTGACTTGGCATGCATTTTTGTGGCCTGAGTGGGTAGGTGTTTTCCCATTGTGAAAACTTGCTTGGTCTTTGGGTTATAGCCATAGATCAAGTTTCATTGCTAGTAGGCCTGGTCATGGACCAGGTCACAGGGCTGTTGACCCCCAAAACCCCCTCTAGGTATGACGGTAGAAAGAAAATCTGGGTCATCCTCGATCTTTTTTTTAAGGACTGGACACAACCAAGTGATATTCTTTCCGGTTTCGAGTCTGCAGGTGGAGCACAAATTTCACAGCCACTCGCCACGTGTTCAAATTTTCAGTCAGAATGCTTTGAAACGACCCATAAGAAATTCCTACAGCACTTGCAATGTCCTGAATTCTTTGATCTTAATGAAAAGCCTTCCTCACTTTTTCAATTTTGACATCTGAATTTAACGTTAATGGATAACCAGAGCGTTCATCCTCAACTGACATTTGTCCTGCTTTGAATTGAGAATACCATTCAAAACACCGACTCATTGCTTTAAAGATTCTGTTCTGTTGACTCATGAAATCGTAATGACACGATTGCAAACAAACCATACCAGTGGCTAACGCGGCGGTCTGGAGTTTTGAGACACACTGATCGCGGGTTCAATCCCCGCCCGTGGTATGGTTTATTCTGTTCTGTTATACAAAAAAAATCGCAATGCTCTGTCAACACAAAAAAATGCCCATCTAACTTCGACAGCATGATCGATAGCTCTGAAACTTGTCATGCTACTTCACAAAGGCATGTACTGCACAGTATGATTTGTTGCCATCATATTTCACCCAGGAAGAATGTGAAATTTTTAGCTGAGCTGTGTGGATGATCTCTGGAACTATTAAACAAATATAACAGGACTTGTATGACATTTTAATATTGCTAAGTCTATTTTCAAGGAAGTGCCTTCAACTTACCCCCCTTTTCTTCCTTGGAATGACTGATTTCTTCCATTCTCCATGTTCCCCTGGGCACTATAAAACCTCAGTGGGTTTAGTGCTCCCTTCTGAATGTAATAAAAATTTTGGCTTGTATAGGAATGATTTGCATTAATTATTTTTCAGAACGAGATGAAAAAAAAGAAAAGGATCGGGATAAAGAAAAGGATCGTGATAAAGATAGAGATAAAGAAAAGGACAGGGACCGCAAGAAACGCAGCAGGTCTCGATCACGTGAACGCCGTAAGCACAAGTAAGTAGCATAGTTTTTTCTCTAAGAACAAACGTTTCAGAGGTGTCATGTTTCTAACAAGTTTAAATCCTAGTTGCCAAACCAATTTAGTGACTGAACTTTTTCAGAAAATATAGGATAGGGATACATCAGAATTTTTTTTTTGATGTTTGCTTTAGTAAGGTAGCATTTGGGTGGCCATTTTTTATTAGTTTGTAAATAAGTGTTGCATTTGACTTACGACTTTCAGAACTAGGTCTGGGTCAAAGGGACGCTCAAGATCTAGATCACGTTCCAGAGAAGCTAGAAGGAAGGCTCGCCGCAAGAAGCCTTCATTGTATTGGGATAAACCACCTCCAGGTTTTGAACACATTACACCTATTCAGTACAAAGCAATGCAAGGTTGGTTAATTGTTCATTATTTGGATTACTAACACAGTACAGGGCTGTAATTCCATATGGTGGGAGTTCAGTTTAGTGAATTCTGTTTTTTAATGGTATGTACTTGCAGGAAGTTGGTAGAGTAGATTTTGAGTGTTGATTTAGTTTCTCATAAGCATTAATGTATCGGTCTATTTTTATGAACTGAAACATTTAAATTTTTTATTGTTTCTTGGATTTGTATCAGATCAGTAATTTTGATTTTCATTTTATTAGGGAGATTAGGTTAGAATCTTTCACAACCATGCATTTACTAAAATGATATGGAAATTTTTGGAGTCATTGAATTTACAAATTGTTGTGAATAGAAGGAAATTTTACAAAGATTACTATAGCTTCCAATAATTTATAGTGTGAAGTTTTATTATGCATTGATATGAATATTGATATTGGCAGTTTGGAGGGATATGTTGTGTATCTTTATACGTATATGCTTCTAAACTGTTGTATTCTGAGCACCTCTGCAAAAACAGTGATAATGTGTGAGTGTGGTGAAAGTGTTGAATGATAATGAAAGTATTTTCTTTTCGGGGATTTTCTTTCTTTTTTGGGTCACCCTGCCTCGGTGGGAGACGGCCGACTTGTTGAAAAAAAACAAAAAAGAATAAAGGGTAACATAATTAATATAGGGCAACTGGATTCATCACAATCCAAAGACATTGAATAATGACAGCCATCTGCCAAGGAAGGGTGATTCAAAGGACATAAATTCACCCTCATTCTTTCAGTAGCTGTTTTGCCATAATGTTCTAACATCACTATTCAGTTTACACTCAAGACTGCAATATTCTTGCTCTTCCCTTGGTGTAAGCACCTCCAAGACTAAAGTCCGGCTAACTGGTTTCCCTGAATCCCTTCGTGAATGTTAACTTGCTCACACTCCAACAGCATGCCCATTAAAAACCACTTGTCTTTATTCATGCCTAACTTGCATAAACCAGCTTGTTGGATGCTTAAGACTCTAAAGCTCATTGACTCCTTTATCACTTCCCTTGAACTATTCATGGGATGACCTCTATCCCTGCTACCTCCCATACCACTAATACACCATTCTTTCCCCCTTTCCATCCTCTCAAAATGCCAAAACCTACATTATACTTTCTACACCTTTTGTACATCATACTTACATCATACTACACGTTACTCTCAAACTGCATCTCCACTTTGTCAAATATCTTTGCATCAATGTTCAAAATCCATGTCTCCCACCCATACAAAATTTAGTACCACAACTCTAGTGTATTTTTTCTCCATATATGTTACTGGGGTTACTAGCCCATTGCTCCCAGCATTTTAGTTGACTTTTACAAGACGTATGGCATACAGAGGAAAGATTCTTATTCCACTTCCCCATGGATATGAAAGGAGAAATAATAGGAACAAGAAATAAGAAAAAAAAAAACTGAGTGTGTACATAAATGTATACGTGTCATGTGGGTTCTTCGATAAAGTGGATGGGGTAAGAATACTCACGTAGGCTGGTAGTACGTATAATATAACGGAAAGTATGGGAAGGCACCAACAGCCGACCTGCCTCTCTGCTCCCTATCTTGACTGACTCAGTGCCTACGGGTGAGGGTGTTTGAAATCCTGCTATGGTCAGCAGCAATATGAATACAGTCAATGATTCACACAGACTGTTGGTAGTGAGTCATCTACTGGTACACTGGTTACTGGTAACTGGTTACTAGGAACTGGTACTACTACTGAGATACGTGCATGTATAATGTGATCTAAGTGTAAGCAAAAGTAGCAAGATATACCTGTTATCTTGTGTGTTTGAGACAGAAGAGACACCCCAGCACTCCTATCATGTAAAACTGTATAAATACAGATTTGTCTTACACTCATTTGGCAGGACAGTAGTACCTCCTTGGGTGGTTGCATTGAGGTATCTTTGGAGACAAAGAATGTTATCCGTGGAAACAAAGGAATGTATGAGAGTATAGTGGTACCAACATGCTTATATGGGTGTGACGCATGGGTTATAAATGCTGCAGCAAGGAGGAGGCTGGAGGCATTGGAGATGTGTCTAAGGTCAATGTGTGGTGTAAATATTGTGCAGAGAATTTGTAGTGTGGAAATTAGGTGGTGGTGTGGAGTTACTAAGAGTATTATTCAGAGGGCTTAGGAGGGGTTGGTGAGGTGGTTTGGTCATTTAGAGAGGATGGAACAAAACAGGATGACTTGGAGGGTGTATAAATCTGTAGGGGAGGGGTTGGGGTTGTCCTAGAAAAGGATGGAGGGAACGGGTGAAAGAGGTTGTGTGTGCAAGGGGCTTGGATATACAGCAGACGTGTTATTTTCATATAGTCGGACTTGGGTCCTGGAAATGGGAAGCACAATGCCTGCACTTTAAAGGAGGGGTTTGGGATATTGGCAGTTTGGAGGGGTATGTTGTGTATCTTTATACGTATATGCTTCTAAACTGTTGTATTCTGAGCACCTCTGCAAAAACAGTGATAATTTGTGAGTGTGGTGAAAGTGTTGAATGATTAAAGTATTTTCTTTTTGGGGATTTTCTTTCTTTTTTGGGTCACCCTGCCTCGGTGGGAGACGGCCGGCTTGTTGGAAAAAAAAAAAAAAGATGTGTGAGCGTGTTAGTGAATGGAGATGAATTGTTTTTGGGACTTGATGAGCTATTTTAGTGAGAGCATGGTAATACTTTGTGAAGGGATTCAGGGAAACCAATGAGCTGGACACGAGTCCTGGACAGTGGTGGCTCGTAGCTAAAATTAGTGGTGGTGCTTCAGAAAATTTTTAGCCATTGTTTTAATAGTGTAAAACAAAACAAGCATATACAGTGGACCCTCAACCAACGATTTTAATTCGTTCCAGAGAACTTGTCCTTAGCCGAATTTATCGTCAGCTGAATTAATAAATAACAAAAAGGCACAATACCGTGACTGGAACGATACGCAAATAACCCGCACATAAAAGACAGAAGCTTACGACGACGTTTCGGTCCGACTTGGACCATTGACAAAGTCACACCGTCGTCGTAAGCTTCTGTCTTTTATGTGTGGGTTATTTGTGTAGCTGAATTAATTTTCCCCATAAGAAATAATGGAAATCCAATTAATCTGTTCGACACCCAAAAGTATGAAAAAAAAAATTCCACATGAAATATACATTTTCCTATACAGAAAAACAAGGATACATGCACAATAAATACTACATGAAGAATAAATGACACCTTTATTGAAGATTTATTAGTGAGTGATCAGATGGGAGGAGGGGAGATGGAGGTGTATTACTGTTTGGAAGGGGAATCCCCTTCCATAAGGACTTTAGGTACCAAGTCCTTTTCTGGGGTTACTTCCCTTTTTTTTTAATGCCACTGGGAACAACTTGACAGTCACTGGACCTCTGTCACACCAAAAATCTGTCCATAGAGCTCTGTACCTGGTGTTCCTTTATGGTTTTCCTAAAATGGACCACGACATTGTCATTGTAAGTCACCAGCACGGCTTGCAATAGCTGTCAGGGTGAGTTTCATCCATAAAGGTTTGCACGTCAATCCACTTTGCACAAATTTCCTTAATCGTTGAAGAAGGCAGCTTCCTCCATCTCTCTTTCCTCTGAAGCAATTTCCTCAGTTGTGGTCTCTTGCTGTTGCAGATGCTCTTGCAGCTCATCAGTGGTTAGTTCTTCATTGTCGTCCTCCACCAAGTCTTCCACATCCTCCCCACTAACATCCAACCCCATAGACTTCCCCAATGACACAATAGATTCCACAACTGGCATAGGCTCCTCAGAGTTCGCCCCAAAATCTTCAAAATCCCTCTTGTACACATTCTGGCCACAATTTCCTTCAAGCAGAGTTCAAGGTCCTGCTAGTCACTCCCTCCCAAGCCTTACCTATAAGGTTTATGCAATTGAGGATAGTAAAGTGATCTTTCCAAAACTTTCTTAGGGTCAGTCGAGTGTCTGAGGTCACTTCAAAGCACTTTTGAAACACTGCTTTGGTGTACAGTATAGTCCTTGTGGCTTAGCGCTTCTTTTTGATTATAATAATAATAATTTGGTGTACAGCTTCTTTTAATTTGAAATGACCTGTTGGTCCATGGGCTGGAGGAGAGGAGTGGTATTAGGAGGCAAGAACTTCACTTTTATGAAGCTCAACTCCCCTGCAATTCGCTCTGGCAAGTCTGAAGGATGAGCAGGAGCATTGTCTAATACCAGGAGGCACTTGAGGTCCAATTTATTTTCCAGGAGGTAATTTTTCACAGTGGGGCCAAACACATGATAGAACCAATCATAGAAAATGTCCCTAGTGACCCATGCCTTACTGTTTGCCCTCCACATCACACAAATTAGCCTTAATGACATTTTCTTGAAACACTGGGAGTTTGAGTGATACATGGGTAGAGGCTTCACTTTGCAATCCCCACTAGCATTACTACAAAACATGAGTTACCCTGTCTTTCATTGGCTTGTGTCTTGGCAGTGCTTTTTCCTCCTGTGTAATGTAGGTCCTGTTTGGCATTTTCTTCCAAAACAGGCCTGTTTGGTCACGATTAAACACTTGTTGGGGTTTTAATTTTTGAATGTCTATGTACTCCTGGAGTCCTGGAAATGGGAAGTACAATGACTGCACTCTAAAGGAGGGGTTTGGGATATTGGCAGTTCGAAGGGATATATTGTGTACGTATTTTTTTATACTTCTAAACTGTTGTATTCTGGGCACCTCTGCAAAAAGTGATTGTGTGAGTGAGGTGAAAGTGTTGAATGATGAAAGTATTTTCTTTTTGGGGATTTTCTTTCTTTTTGGGTCACCCAGCCTCGGTGGGAGACGGCTGACTTGTTAAAAAAAAAAAAAAAAAAATTCAGCTGCTTTTTTGTCCGAACTGGCAGCCTCACCATGCCTTACCACACTGTGTATGCCACTATGATTCTTAAATCTCCCAAATCAACCTTTGCTGGCCTTTATGGAATTCACTAACATCACCACTAGTTGCAGGCATTTTTAACTAAATCGTCCTGCAACTGCCTTGCCTTTTCTTTCTCTTTTTCTCTTTCTCTTTTTCCCTTTTTCTCTTTTTTTCTCTTTCTTTCTCTTTTTCTCTTTTTCCTTCTCTTTTTCTCTCTTTTCTTTCTTTCTATTTTCTTTCTCTTTTTTTTCTTTTTCTCTTTTTTTTTTTTTTTTTTTTCTTTTTTTTTTTTTTTTTTCTCTTTTTTCTTTCTTTTTTTTTCTCTTTTCTCTTTTTCTTTCTCTTTTCTTTCTCTTTTTCTCTTTCTCTTTTTTCTCCTTTTTTCTTTTTTTTTCTTTTCCTTTCTCTTTTCCTTTCTTCCTTTCTCTTTCTTTCTGTCTTTTTCTTTCTCTTTTTATCTTTTTTTCCTCTTTTCTTTTTCTTTCTTTTTTCTCTTTTTCTCTTTTTTTTCTCATTTTTCTCTTTTTTCTTTTTCTTTTTTCTCTTTTTTTCTTTTTTTCTTTCTCTTTTTCTCTTTTTTTCTTTTCTTTCTTTTTCTCTTTTTCTTTCTCTTTTTCTCTTTCTCTTTTTCTTTTCTCTTTTTCTCTTTTTTCTCTTTCTCTTTTTCTCTTTCTCTTTTTCTCTTTCTCTTTTTCTCCTTTCTCTTTTTCTCTTTTCTCTTTCTCTTTTCTCCTTTTCCTTTCTCCTTTTCCTTTCTCCTTTTCCTTTCTCCTTTTCCTTTCTCCTTTTCCTTTCTCCTTTTCCTTTCTCCTTTTCCTTTCTCCTTTTTTCTCCTTTTTTCTTTTTCTCTTTTTTCCTCTTTTTCTCTTTTTTCTTTCTCTTTTTCCTTTCTCCTTTTTTCTTTTTCTTTTTCCCTTTCTCTTTTTTCTTTTTTTTTCTTTCTCTTTTTCTTTTTTTTTTCTTATCTCTCTTTTTTTTTTCTTTTTCTGTTTTTTTTTTTCTTTTTCTTTCTTTTTTTTTTTTTTTTCCTTTTTTCTTTTCTTTCTTTTTCTCTTTTTCTTTTACTTTTTCTTTTTCTTTTTCTTTTTCTTTTTTTTCTTTTTTCTCTTTCTTTTCTCTTTTTCTCTTTTTCTTTCTTTTTTTCTTTTTCTTTCTTTTTTTCTTTTTTTTTCTTTCTTTTTCTTTTAATAGTTTGTATTTTATTTACAGCTGCTGGACAGATTCCATCTAATGTGACAGTACCTCTAATTGCACCACCCAGTGCAGGACAAATACCACCATTAGCAGCAGTAGTCCCTTCAGTTCCAGAAGTCACTAATGTTCCCCAGCCAGTACCAGTTGTTGGTTCCACCATCACTAGACAAGCACGCCGTCTGTATGTAGGAAATATTCCATTTGGTGTAACAGAGGAAGAGATGATGGAATTCTTCAACCAGCAGATGCATCTTGCTGGTCTTGCCCAAGCTGCTGGAAACCCAGTTCTTGCTTGTCAGGTTTGTAGTAGTTACATAGTTAAAAAAAAAATAAAAATGAATGTGTAACGGTTACTCCTTGCCTAAAGAAGGCTCAGTTAATGTAAAACAATTTGACATGTATTAGGAAACAAGCCAGCACGAAGGCAAACCCCTACCATTTTAATGAACCATTATTGACTCCATCTTTACACTTCAAGGCTGAAATCCATCTGCATTGTCTTTTGAAATCTTTAGGTAACCTGTAGAATGGTAGTTTTGGGATGTCTTGCTGAATACTACTTCCAGCAATACAGTGGTAACCATCCTGGAGGCTTAGAAGAGTGAAGTCTCATAGCTACAGTATATTTGCAGTATGTAGACTTGGTGTGTCTGGCAAGATGTACTAATAACTCATTGCTTCAAAAATCTCTTTAGAACACTTCCATGGTGTTATAGCTGTATGGTACATGAACCTCATAATTTTCAGTGTATACTGACAAAATTTGTCACTTAAAAGAATGCCAAAAGTTTAATATCATATCTCTTATTTTTCAGATATTTGTTAACTGAAGATGAGAAAATAAAGTAAAAAATTCTAGCTTGTGCCTAAAATTAATACTAAAGGTATTCTGTGAAGGTGATAGTGTAAAAGAATGCATTGCTAGAACATTTATCCCCTTTCACTGTTTAGATTTAAAAAAAATCTAAAATAGTAGCAAATCTTTTTCTGAAAGTAATGACAACAAAAAGGCAAAGGCAAAATTTGATGGAAATTTACGAAATTACACAGGTATGAAATTTACAGTCTGCGTGACATTTACTCATCAGTGATTTTGTCCACTCTGAGGCCTATTTAACGCTATTTTATTAGTACTCATTCTGTTCTATCAGTTGATTGCAAGAAACTGCTCATTCCCCTATTGGAACTACCCTGGAAAGTGTACAGAAGTCAATAATTTAGCCACTTTTACACAAAATTCAACAAATTCCATTTTAAATAAGTCCAAAATAAACTCTAGACTTTCCAGCCACAAAGGCAGCCTTTTCCTCTGTTCATTAGCCCTTTCAGGGTTTCCGACGTACTAGTACGGCTTGCGCATCAGGGTTATTGACGTACTAGAACGCCTAAATTCTATTGCCTTCAAATCTAGCGAGAAAGGTGGTAGGCCTACATATGAAAGAATGGGTCTGTGGTCAGTATGCGCAGTATAAAAAAAATCCTGCAGCACACAATGCGTAAAGAGAGAGAAAAAACTTGGACCGTGTTTTTTGGATTAAAACAGCGACTTTGCACTGTATATTGGTATCATATTTATGGTTGTATTCTAGTTTTCCTAGTCTCATTTTATAGAATGGAAGACATATTACAGAAATTGAGATGATTTTGATTGGTTTCACAATGAAAAGTACCTTGAAATTGAGCTCTAAGTAGCAGAAATGTTCGATTTTTACCAAAGTTCAAAAGTAAACAGATCATGCCAGCATCCAATACACGTCAACTGGCAAGTCTAATTTTCTTTCAAAAGTGCGCTGATATTATTTATACCATTTCTACACTAATGCAGTAGTCTGCATGACAGTAAATCTTATTTTTTTGTGAGAATAAAATTCAAAGTGGAAAACAAAAGAAATGTAAGAGGGGGGCCTGGGGACATGACTAACGAACAGAGAAATTGTTATTTTAGTGCCAGGAATGTCTGTCTTGTTTATTCTGGACCCTATTTGGAAATTGGCATCTGAAATTTGTGTGAAATTGGCAATTTCAACTGTCCAGTGAAGTGGTTAGAAATTGGCAAAATTGCCAATTGGGAAGTTTTCAATGCATTTATGGATTTAGAAAAGGCATAATAGTGGATAGGGGAGCAGTGTGGCAGAAGTTGCAAGTGTATAGAATATGTAGTAGGTTATTAAATATTGTAAAGTGTTTTTATGAGAATAGTGAGGCTCAGGTTAGGGTGTATAGGAGAGGGGAGATTACTTCCCGGTAAAAGTAGGTCTTAGACAGGGATGTGTGATGTCACCATGGTTCTTTAATATATTTATAGATGGGGTTGTAAAAGAAGTAAATGCAACGGTGTTGGGGAGAGGGGTGGGATTAAATTATAGGAAATCAAATATAAAATGGGAGTTTTTGCTGATACTGTGCTTATGGGAGATTCTAAAGAAAAGTTGCAAAGGTTAGTGGATGAGTTTGGGAGTGTGTGTAAAGGTAGGAAGTTGAAAGCGAATAATAGATAAGAGTAGGTGATGAGGGTATCAAACGATTTAGATAAAGAAAAATTGGATCATACATTGGAGAGGGAGTATGGAAGATTTTTTAGATTTTGCCACCGAAGTGGCTAGTTTATTGTGTACATGGAAGAAGTGAATGTTTTCAGATATTTGGGAGTTGACTTATAAAGGATGAGGTTAATAGAATTGCTGAAGAAAAAAAGGTGAGTGGTGCATCAAGGTATGTGGAGACAAAAAAAAAAATTATCCATGAAGGCAAAGAAGGGAATGTACAAAAGTATAGTGGTACCAACACACTTATATGGGTGTGAAACTTGGGTTGCAAATGCTGCAGTGAGGAGGCAGCTGGAGGCAGTGGAGATGTCCTGTTTAAGGGCAGTGTGTTGTGTAAATATTATGCAGAGAATTTGGAGTGTGGAGTTGCTAAAAGTATTAGAGGGCTGAAGAGGGGTTGTTGAGGTGGTTTTAGAAAGTGGATCAAAGTAGAATGACTTGGAGAGCATATAAATCTGTAGGGGAAGGAAGGCATGGTAGGGGTCATCATCGAGAAGGTTGGAGGGAGGGGGCAAAGGAGGTTTTGTGTGCGAGGGGCTTGGACTACCAGCAAGCATTGTGTGTGTGTTTTGTGTGTGTGTTTTGTGTGTGTGTGTTTTGTGTGTGTGTGTTTTGTGTGTGTGTGTTTTGTGTGTGTGTGTTTTGTGTGTGTGTTTTTGTGTGTGTGTGTTTTGTGTGTGTGGTGTTTTGTGTGTGTGTGTGTTTTGTGTGTGTGTGTGTTTTGTGTGTGTGTTTGTGTGTGTGTGTTTGTGTGTGTGTGTTTTGTGTGTGTGTGTGTTTTGTGTGTGTGTGTGTTTTGTGTGTTGTGTGGGGTTTTGTGTGTGTGTGTGTTTTTTGTGTGTGTTTTTTGTGTGTGTGTGTTTTGTGTGTGTGTGTTTTGTGTGTGTGTGTTTTGTGTGTGTGTGTTTTGTGTGTGTGTGTGTTTTGTGTGTGTGTGTGTGTGTTGTGTTTTTGTTGTGTGTGTTTTGTGTGTGTGTGTGTTTTGTGTGTGTGTGTGTTTTGTGTGTGTGTTGTGTGTTGTGTGTTTGTGGGTGTTTTGTGTGTGTGTGTGTTTTGTGTGTGGTTTTGTGTGTGTGTGTGTTTTTGTGTGTGTGTGTTTTGTGTGTGTGTGTGTTTTGTGTGTGTGTGTTTTGTGTGTGTGTGTGTTTTGTGTGTGTGTGTGTTTTGTTGTGTGTGTGTTTTGTGTGTGTGTGTTTTGTGGTGTGGGTTTTGTGTGTGTGTGTTTGTGTGTGTGTTGTTGTGTGTGTGTTTTGGTGTGTGTGTTTTGTGTGTTGTGTTTTTTGGTGGTTGGTGTGGTTTTGTTGTTTTTGGTGTGTGTTTTTGTGTGTGTTTTTTTGGTGTGTTTTTTGTGTGTGTTTTTTGTGTGTGTTTTTTGTGTGTTTTTTGTGTGTGTTTTTTGGGTTGTGTTGTGTTTTTTGTGTGTGTTTTTTGGTGTGTGTTTTTTTGTGTGTGTTTTTTTGTGTGTGTTTTTTGTGTGTGTTTTTTGTGTGTGTGATTTTGTGTGTGTTTTTTGTGGTGTGTGTGTGTTAGGAGTAAATGGAGACAAATGGTTTTTGGGACCTGACGAGCTATTGGAGTGTGAGCAGGGTAATATTTTGTGAAGGGATTCAGAGAAACTGGTTAGCCAGATTTAAGTCCTGGAAATGGAAAGTACAATGCCTGCACTTTAAAGGAGGGGTTTGGGATATTGGCAATTTAGAGGGACTTCTAAACTGTTGTATCTGAGTGCCTATGCTAAAACATTGATTGTATATGAGGTGAAAGTGTTGAATGATGATGAAAGTATTTTTCTTTTTGGGGATTTTGTTGTTTTTTGGGTCACCCTGCCTCGGTGAGAGACGACAGACATGTTAAAAATAACATACAGTAGGGCCCTGTTTTACGGTATTCCGCTAATACAGACATTTCAAATTATAACAAATTCGCTATACGGCTCCCCCCCCCTCCCCCCACCTGACTTTCTAATATGGTCACCGTGCCCCACCCAGTTTGTTTATATTTTCCATGAGCTCTGTGTCTGTCTGGAAACTTTCCAAAATTTCAGTGTTTTAAAGTTTTCATTTTTTTTTTTTTTTAACAAGTCGCCCGTCTCCCACTGAGGCAGGGTGACCCAAAAATAAAGAAAATCCCCAAAAAGAAAATACTTTCATCATTCAACACTTTCACCTCACTCACACATAATCACTGTTTTTGCAGAGGTGCTCAGAACACAACAGTTTAGAAGCATATACGTATAGACAACATATCCCTCCAAACTGCTAATATCCCGAAACCCCTCCTTTAGAGTGCAGGCATTGTTCTTCCCATTTCCAGGACTCAAGTCCGGCTATATAGAAATAACCGGTTTCCCTGAATCCCTTCACTAAATATTACCCTGCTCGCACTCCAACAGATCGTCAGGTCCCAAATACCATTCATCTTCATTCCCTCCTATCGAACACACTCATGCACGCCTGTTGGAAGTCCAAGCCCCTTGCCCACAAAACCTCCCTTACCCCTTCCTTCCAACCTTTTCAAGGACGACCCCTACCCCGCCTTCCTTCCCCTACAGATTTAAATGCTCTCCATGTCATTCTACTTTGATCCATTCTCTCTAAATGACCAAACCACCTCAACAACCCCTCTTCAGCCCTCTGACTAATACTTTTATTAACTCCGCACCTCTTAATTTCCACACTCCGAATTTTCTGCATAATATTTACACCACACATTGCCCTTAGACAGGACATCTCCACTGCCTCCAGCTGCCTCCTCGCTGCTGCATTCACAACCCAAGCTTCACACCCATATAAGAGTGTTGGTAATACTATACTTTCATACATTCCCTTCTTTGCCTCCATAGATAAAGTTTTTTGTCTCCTCATATACCTCAATGCACCACTCACCTTTTTTCCCTTACCCTTTTCTATGTTCACTTTCAACTTTCTACCTTTACACACACTCCCAAACTCATCTACTAACCTTTGCAAATTTTCTTTAGAATCTCCCATAAGCACAGTATCATCAGCAAAAAGCAACTGTGTCAATTCCCATTTTGTATTTGATTCCCCATAATTTAATCCCACCCCTCTCCCGAAACACCCTAGCATTTACTTCTTTTACAACCCTATCTATAAATATATTAAACAACCAGGGTGACATTACACATCCCTGTCTAAGACCTACTTTTACCAGGAAGTAGTCTCCCTCTCTTCTACACACCCTAACCTGAGCCTCACTATCCTCATAAAAACTCTACAGCATTTAGTAACTTACCACCTATTCCGTATACTTGCAACATCTGCCACATTGCTCCCCTATCCACTCTATCATATGCCTTTTCTAAATCCATAAAAGCAATAAAAACTTACCTAGCTTTATCTAAATACTGTTCACATATATACTTCAATGTAAACACTTGATCTACACATCCCCTACCCACTCTGAAACCTCCTTGCTCATCCGCAGTCCTACATTCTGTTGTACCTCTAATTCTTTCAATTATAACTCTACCGTACACTTTTCCTGGTATACTCAGTAAACTTATTCCTCTAATTTTTACAATCTCTTTTGTCCCCCTTCCCTCTATATAAAGGGACTATACATACTCTCCTCCAATTCCTAGGTACCTTCTCCTCTTTCATACATTTATTAAACAAAAATACCAACCACTCCAACACTATATCCCCCCTGCTTTTAACATTTGTCATGATCCCGTCAGTTCCAGCTGCTTTACCCCCTTTCATTCTACGTAATGCCTCATGCACCTCCCCCACACTCACATCCTGTTCTTCACTCCTAAAAGATGGTATACCTCCCTGGCCAGTGCATGAAATTTCCACTTCCCTTTCTTCGTTGACATTTAAAAGTTCCTCAAAATATTCTCGCCATCTACCCAAAACCTCCATCTCCCCATATGCTAACTCCCCTACTCTGTTTTTAACTGACAAATCCATTCGTTCTCTAGGCTTTCTTAACCTGTTTAACTCACTCCAAAATTTTTCTTATTTTCCATTAAAATTTCTTGACAGTGCCTCTCCCACTCTATCATCTGCTCTCCTTTTGCACTCCCACCACTCTCTTTACCTTTCTTTTACTCTCCATATACTCTACTCTTCTTATAATGCTTCTGCTTTGTGAAAAACCTCTCATAAGCTAACTTTTTCTCTTTTATCACACCCTTTACTTCATCATTCCACCAATCACTCCTCTTTCACCCACCCTTCTATAACCACAAACTTCTGCCCCACATTCTAATACTGCATTTTTAAAACTATTCCAACCCTCTTCACCCCCCCCCCCCCACCCCCACTACTCATACTTACACCAGCCCACCTTTCTGCCAATAGTTGCTTATATCTCACCCGAACTTCCTCCTCCCTTAGTTTATACACTTTCACCTCCCTCTTGCTTGTTGTTGCCATTTTCCTCTTTTTCCCATCTACCTCTTACTCTAACTGTAGCTACAACTAAATAATGATCCGATATATCAGTTGCCTCTCTATAAACGTGTACATCCTGGAGCCTACCCATCAACCTTTTATCCACCAATGCATAATCTAACAAACTACTTTCATTACATGCTATATCATACCTTGTATATTTATTTATCCTCTTCATAAAATATGTATTACTTATTACCAAACCTCTTTCTACACATAGCTCAATTAAAGGCTCCCCATTTACATTTACCCCTGGCACCCCAAATTTACCTACTACTACCTCCACAACATTTTTGCCCACTTTAGCATTGAAATTCCCAACCACCATTACTCTCACACTTCGTTCAAAACGCCCCACGCATTCACTCAACATTTCCCAAAATCTCTCTCTCCTCTACACTTCTCTCTTCTCCAGGTGCATATATGCTTACTATAACCCACTTTTCACATCCAACCTTTATTTTACTCCACATAATCCTTGAATTTATGCATTTGTAGTCCTTCTTTTCCTGCCATAACTTATCCTTCAACATTATTGCTACTCCTTCTTTAGCTCTAACTCTTTTTGAAACCCCTGACCTAATCCCATTTATTCCTCTCCACTGAAACTCTCCCACCCCCTTCATCTTTGTTTCATCTAGCTTCTTCTCATTCATAACATCCACAATTATCTCTTTCTTATCATTTGCACAACATCCACGCACATTCAGACTTCCCACTTTGACAGTTTTCTTCTTCTTATTCTTTTTAGTAATTATTACAAGAAAAGGGGTTACTAGCCCATTGTTCCCAGCATTTTAGTTGACTTTTACAACATGCATGGCTTATGGAGGAAAGATTCTTATTTCACTTCCCCATGGATATAAAAGGAAAAGTAATAAGACCAAGAACTATTAAGATAAAATCAAAGGAAACTCAGATGAGTGTGTATAAATAAACATGCACATGTATGTGTAGTGTGGCCTAAGTGTAAGTAGAAGTAGCAAGACGTACCTGTAATCTTGCATATTTGAGACAGACAAGACACCAGCAATCCTACCATCATGTAAAACAATTACAAGCTTTTGTTTCACACTCACTTGACAGGATGATAGTACCCCCCTGGGTGGTTGCTGTCTACCAACCTACTACCTATATTTTATATATACTCTGGTAATTATACTTAGGTTTATCTGTACATAAGTAAACTTACATACTGTGCTGGTGTGCAGGTACACATTAAAATCACTAAGAGTGTCTTATGTCTCGAACGCCATATTAATAATGATACTACTCACTCGTAGGCACATCAAACGTCGTATATTCCGTTAATATACACATTTTCATTCATCCATCTATGATATTTTTTCAAAATTATATAATAAACATGCTTTGTAACATATAAACATGATAAATACACCCCACAGTAGAATAAATTAACATAGTACAATATCAAAGAAAATGTGTACACAGTAATATTACTGGGGGTAACCGTAGAAAATTATTCCTTTTGTATGCCTTCACTCAGAGCATCATTTCTTGTAAAAATGGTGTTACATGAGAGTGGGAGTGTTCCTCTCTATTGATTCTACTGTACCAACGTGGAGACAGCTTGTACACAGTTTAAAGTGTTTGTATTACGGTATAATACAGACATGAATGAACCAAACCAGAAGTGGAAAAAAGTGTTCCAATTTACGGAGATTTCCGCTTTATGGCGGTAACCTGCCATATAAGTGGGGCCCTATTGTATGTACATACATACACAGCACACCCAGAGTGCCCACATCATAATAGAGGGTGCTATGATTATGACTTGGATCTACATAAATGACAGTGAAAGGGTTGAATTAAAAATTGTGAAAATTGGTATGTTTTTATTTAAAAATATTAAGGATTGAACTACTTATAGGTAAGTTGTAGGTGCTATGAGTAGCTTCCTATGTATTTATTTCTTTGCAGGTCAACCTTGACAAGAATTTTGCTTTCTTGGAGTTCCGATCAATTGATGAAACTACTCAAGGAATAGCTTTTGATGGTATTAATTTTAAAGGGCAGAGTTTAAAAATCAGACGACCTCATGATTATCAACCAATGCCAGGCATGTCTGAGCATCCAACTCTAACTACCATGCCAGGTACGACACAGATTCCAGGTATGAAACACGGGGAGTCCACCAGACATATTGAAGGTATTGTCTAAATGATTGCAGGAGTGAATAATAAAATCTAATTCCGATTACTGTGTGTAATCATTTCAAGGGCTTCACACACACAATAAAGTTGGAGAGAGGGACATGTGGATTTTTTTTTTCTCCATGGTAGGGCGACTCGAGGAAATAACTCGTCAGTATTCATCAGAAGTCCCAGAAATGCAGACTTCACAATTCAGATGGCCCTCTGAACATTAACACTTCTACAGAGTGCAGGCAATGTACTTACCAAAGCCAGGACTTGAATCCAGCTAATGGATTTTCCTGAATCTACATAAGTGCTATCTTGTTCTCGCACTGACTGCATGTCAAACCCTGAAAACCACATCTCCACATGCTCCGATCTATTGTTCTCGCACATCTGCTAGATGCTCAAGCCCCTGCCACAAAGACCTCTTTGTGCCTCCTCCCTCCAAATCTTCCTGATTTTTAGACACTGGTCTAATTGAATTGAGACTTAATTACGCTTAGTAAGCAAAAATCATAATGCAGTCATTTCTAGATAAATTCATTAAATACGTCTGTGTGTATTCCGACTTCATTTTTATTTTAAGTAAATGCTTATGAAAGTGATGTATATGGTGAATATATTTTTGTAATTCTTTAAAACTATGCAGAAATGCATTTTTACATAATTATTTTTCTTTAGTTATTGCAGGTGTGGTTTCAACTGTGGTGCCCGATTCACCTCATAAGATCTTTATTGGAGGGCTGCCCAACTACCTTAATGAAGATCAGGTATGTTCTTGTCTTTTAACATTCTGCTCCCAGAGGAGGTGGAAAGCAACAACATAGACCTTGCTGACCAAAACAAAGCTAGAATCTTCCTGTAAAGGTATTTTGCATCTTAATTTTGGTGCCATTTTGGTTTAGCTACCTCATTTGTACCACATGGCTCATTTTAAAGAGCAAAGCTGTGAATCTCCTACAAGGGAATACACACTGTTAAGGAACATTTAAGTAATGTTTTGAATTCACCAATGCTCTTGTGGCTAAAAATGTAACATTATGGCCATTAGAAAAGGCATTGTTAGTTTTTGCCAGTTTACATCATCGCTATTTAAGTTGACATTCGGTTTGTGTTTGCAGTTTGAGATGACTTTGATCGTGCAGTTTTAGTTAAATATTGTAAGCTATCTGAAGACTGATGATTTCTTCTGAGCCATATGGAAAAGTGAAAGACTACTTGGAATTTTAAAAACTGTTACTTGCTCCATTGGTAGTTTAAATAATGTTAGGAAAGGTAAAGATTATTGTGCTCCCATGATAGTGTGTGATGTGTAAGGTAAGTGATGTACCATTTTGGTTTGGAAAAATTCTCTTGAGTTAGAACTTTCATTTGAATTTTGATAAAGTAATTTCAAAGTTCGTAAAATTGATAGATTGTTAACTAACCCTTTCAGGGTCCAGAGGCCAAATTTCAAAGTGGTCACCAGGGTCCAAGAATTTTCAATAAATAATTGTCATTTTTCCTTGTGAAACGGTAGAGAATCTTTTTCTGGAGGTAATAAAACAAAAAGTACGAAATTTGATGGAAAATTGACGAAATTATACCCTCGCGAATTTCAATGTCAGTGATATTTACGCCTCGGCAATTTTGCCGACTTTGACTCCCATTTTAGGCCAATTACCTTATTCCAGTTGACGAAATTCTTAGCTATTTCACTAGTATTACTTCTATTCTATCGATTGAGCACAAGAAATTGCCAAGTCAACTGTTTCGACTACAAAATAGTGATTGGAAATTGGTAATTTGGCCAATTTAGTACAAAATTCAAAATATTCCAATTTCAAAATAGGGTCCAGAATAAACACTGCAGGCATTCCTGGCACTAAATTAACATTTCCTCTGTTCATTAGTTACGTTTTCAGGCTTTACAAATGAATTCCATTTTGATTTTTTATTCACATAATGAATTTTTATTCAGTCCAAAAAAATAAAAGATTTACTGTCTTGCAGTATTGTAATAATTGTATAAATAATATCAGCACATATGTGAACGTATATTAGACCCACGAGCTGGCGTGTATTAGACGTGTGAGGTCATTTGTTTACTTTTGAACGTCGGCAAAAATTTAACATTTCCGCTACTTTGAGCTCAGTTTCAAGCCATTTTCCATACTAAAACCAATCAAAATCATCTCTAGTAATGTAATATATCTTCCATTCTATCAAATGAGACCAAGTAATCGCAAATACAACTATAAAAAAATAACAAAAGAACACTGCAAAGTCGCTGTTTTGATTGAAAATTACGGTCTTTTTTTTTCTCTCATTATACACTGTGCTGCAGGATTTATTTTATGTTGTGCGCACATACCACATAGATGTATTCTCTCGTATCTAGGCCCAAATTTACCACTCTCAGCTTATCAGAGTGAGCTGAGCTCATGGCATAGATCTACGGTTTGGACCCTCAACGTTAAGCCGTAGATCTATGGCATGGACCCTGAAAGGGTTTAATGTATTGTTCATTTGAAAGTTTTTATATTCAGAGAATAATTTTCCCGTCAAAATTTGTTTCTATTTTTCAGCTGAAGGTGAACAAAGCAGCTTGTTAGACATTTTGGTTAACTTGCTTCTCCTCACCTTTTAACATGCACCTTTAGAATTGTCAAATAATTTTTCTGCTTTGGTCATAAATGTTGCATTAGAAGTAATGATTATGGTGCAGGTAAAAAAGTGCAATAATCAGGGCTCATATATTTTGAAAACTACCATCTGCCTTGGTATATTGAGATCGCGTGCACAGAAACAAAATGGATTGTCATTAATTTTATGAATTGTCCACAATGGAATTTGTGTTCCTGAAACATAGGGTAGGTAGATGGATGAGATCACATTTCTTTAAGAACATTTGGTCTAGCTGTCTTCAGTGAACAGATGTGGCAAGTATGTATATCTCTTCTTTCAGAAAGTTATTGTCTGTTCAAGTATGAAAATTTGTAAGTAATTTTGTTTAAAAGGAAACTGAATGCAAACTAAATTTATATTATGTTTTAAATTAAGTGGTTCCTTGAGTTACGATATTAATCCAGAAGGCATATATCCAAAAAATGTAACTCAAACCCCAAAATATGCAGTTGTATGGTAATTTGTTCTGCAGATCACAATAGACATGGCAAGATAGGGAAGGTAGGGTAAAGAAGAGCAGGCAGGCGCCTGTGCACACACAAGCACACGCACGCATGCATGAGTTCCACACGAGATGAGTGCAAAAACTGGAGGACCAGGCAGGGATAACAGGGAAGGCACTACAATGGATCAGGGAATACCTGTCAGGAAGACAGCAGTGAGTCATGGTACGCGGCGAGAGTCAGTGGGCACCTGTGACGAGCGAGGTTCCACAGGAGTCAGTCCTAGGACCAGTGCTGTTTCTGGTATTCGTGAATGACATGACAGAAGGAATAAACTCTGAAGTGTCCCTGTTTGCAAATGATGTGAAGTTAATGAGAAGAATTAAATTGGACGAGAACCAGGAAGAACTACAAAGGGATCTGGACAGGCTGCAGGCCTGGTCCAGCAATTGGCTCCTGGAGTTCAACCCCACCAAGTGCAAAGTCAACAAGATTGGGGAAGGGCAAAGAAGACTGCAGACAGAGTACAGTCTAGGGCCAGAGACTACAAATCTCACTCAAGGAAAAAAATCTTGGGGTGAGGATAATACCAGGCACTTCTCCTGAGGCGTACGTCAACCAGATAACTGCTGCAGCATGTGGGCGCCTAGCAAACCTTAGAACAGCATTCTGCCATCTTAATAAGGAATCATGCAGGATACTGTGTACGTTAGGTCCATATTGGAGTATGCGGCACCAGTTTGGAACCCACACCTAGCCAAGCATGTAAAGAAACTAGAAAAAGTGCAAAGGTTTGCAACAAGACTAGGCCCAGAGCTAAGGGGTATGTCCTACGAGGAGAGGTTAAGGGAAATCGACCTGATGACACTGGAGGACAGGAGAGAGAGGGGGGACATGATACATACAAAATACTGAGAGGAATTGACAAGGTGGACAGACAGAATGTTCCAGAGTTGGGACACAACAAGGGGGGACAGTTGGAAATTGAAGACACAGATGAATCACAGGGATGTTAGGAAGTATTTCTTCAGTCAGAGAGTAGTCAGGAAGCGATGTAGTGGAGGCAGGATCCACTCATAGCTTTAAGCAGAGGTATGATAAAGCTCATGGTGCAAGAAGAGTGACCCAGTGGTGGCCAGTGAAGAGGCAGGACCAGGAGCTATGACTCAACCCCTGCAACCACAACTAGGTGAGTACACATACAGGTGTAGACAGATAAGCAGGGGTGGGGGTGCACACACAAGATAGGCAGACAGAATTGGTAAAGAACTAGATTTTTATATTATTGTCAGTTTCCCACCATTCCTGTCTGGTACATGTATGGTCTCCCTTCCCTCCTTTCCACCCCCCCCCCCCCTCAAACATATCTTCCACCATCACTCCATTTAAGACCTTTTCATCATCTTGTCTCTGTACTGAGACCCACCTATGCTCACTGACCATCATACACATATCAGATCTCAGATTTTTGTTTCCAACGCAAAACAATTTCTTAAAGGGTCAATAGTAACTCAACCCATTGTAACTCAAGGGGCACCACTGTAATAACTTTGCTACATGGTTTTGATTTATAGTAGTAATATTAGTATATCGGATAGAAAACCAGAAGGTACTTGCAAAATTTTCTACATTTTGTACGCCTTAGAGTACATTGTGTGTTGTCCTTCGTACCTCCAGGATCGAGATAAAACTGTCCAATTTTTTCCTTGAATCGATCACACTGGCACTGTGTACTGTAAGATTTGGACTTAAGGTTGTCAGCCTATCTTGCTGGTCACTTCAGGGAAAAGGTTGATACAAAATTTACATTTGGATTTTTTTTTTTTTTTTTTTTAATTCCTTGATTAAGGATATGTATGAGTGGAATCTTATCTGTAGATATTAGATGACTGAGCATTTGCGTGTTCATGCATGTGTATACACACAGTGCCCACAATAATTTGGACCTCCCCTTTATTATGAAAATTGTTAAAAAGCAATAATATAAATATTATAGAACAAAAGCTTTAATACTTGCTGATGACATTAATATTTTGTCCCCCCCCCCCCCTCTTAATGAAGCCGTTTGGGCATGCTTTCACTCATACTTGAAGTAATCAATGGCTAACTGGTTGACCCAAATGTCCTTTAACTGCTGCGGGCACAGTATGGATGGAAATGTGACAGGATTCCATCTTTTTCATGATATTCTAGGCATTCTCAATGGGACTGGGTCTGAACTATTTCCTTGCCACAGTAAAATCTCAATATTATACCGAGCAAGCCACTTGGTCAGTTTTTGGCCTTGTAAGAGGGTGTGCTATCATGCATAGAGGTGGTGCAGCTGTGAATTTTGAAAATACTTAGCAGCTGGAACTTGAGGATGTTGTAGGGATCAGCATTCATTGTAATGTTTTAGGGAAGGAAGTAAAAACCTCCAAGGCCAAGTACATCACCAAAGCAACCCCAAACTATGAGAGATTGTGAGTGCTTTATGGTGCTCACTGTGTATGCAGCGTTGCACCTGCTGATGGAGGGGGGGGGGCACCTGACCCTGCTTTGATGACCTTGAATGTTCTGAAGTGTGGATTCATCTGACCACATGACTTTTTCCCAGTCATCAACAATCCAGAGTGCATATTTCCAGGAATATTGCAGGCACTCTTTTATACAGGGTGCGA